AGGAGCAGCTGGTGGAGCAGAGAGGAGGAGCAGCTGGTGGAGCAGAGATAACAGCCTGATCCTGAAGGTGGAGAAGACCAAGGAGATCATGGTGGACTTCAGGAAGAAGCGGCCTAACCACGCTCCACTGCTCATCAACAGCTCAGCTGTAGAGGTGGTCAGCAGCACCACATTCATCACAGACACCCTCACCTGGACTGGAAACACCACCTCACTGGTCCAAACGGCCCAGAAGCGCTTGGACAAAATTTTGTTTTGTATACGCTGTGCACAAAATGACAAAGTCTTTCTAAGTCTAAGTCAGATAAAGTGCATTACAGTAATCTGGTCTGGTAGTGATGAAGGCGTGGACTATTGTCTCTTAATGAGAAAGGGCTTTATTTTAGCCAACTGCCTTAACTGTAAGAAACTTTTCTTTACAGTTTCCTTTATCTGGCTGTCAAGTTTATGATCAGCATCTACTTCAACACAAAATTTTGTGATAAATTACTTCCTGTTCTGGGCTAGAAAACCTACTTTAATGGAGGGAGCCTCAGATGTGCTGCTAAAATCCATGACCTCGGTCTTACTCTCATTAAATTCTAAAAAGTTAAGGGCCATCCAGGTATTGAGTTCTTTGAGGCATTCTAACAGCAAACTAATAGAGGTCCCATCTTTATTTGCTTAAATTAATATAAATGTGGCTGTCATCAGCATAACAATGGAAATGGACACCATGCTTCCTCATTATGGAGCCAAGCGGGAGTAGATAAAGGGCAAAGAGAAGTTGGCCCAAAACTGAGCCCTGTGGCACCCCACACAATAGGGGAGCAGAGGATGACTTCACTTTAAGAGAGACACAGAAGGCTCAGTTATCTGTTATTTAAACCATTCCATTGGTTTACCCTGATGTCGACACACTTTGCCAAACCAGAGAGTAAAATTTTGTGGTCTACTGTATCGAAAGCAGCAGTTAATTCCAGAAGAACAAGAATCACACAGTCACTAGAATCTGTTGCTAAAAAAATATAATTAAAAACCCTTAAAAGAGCTGATTGAGTGCTGAGTAATGTTTTAAAACCAGATTGGAAAACCTCTAAAATATCATGTTCTTCCAAAAAAGGCCATCAGTTGATCATACAACACTTTCTCAAGAATATTTTAGATGAAGGGAAGCTTAGAAATCGGCCTATAGTTTGAAAGAATTGTGGGATCAAGAGCAGCTTTCTTAAGTAATCATAAGCATGATTTAAATGACCAGGAACAACACCTGAAGACAAACAGACCTGGAAAAACGACCAAAATAATCTAATAAGATTCCCAAAGGAATAAATCATGATAGTCTAATAAAAACTGAAATAACTTCAATTGGGGAAAAAGTTAAAACGATTAAATGCGGTCTGTTTAACATAAGATCTCTTTCCTCTAAAAGTCT